AAAAGTCTCTCCCCAGCAAATTATTTCAAAAACTAAAAATTATACTGTAGATCTTTTGCCAATGTATACTACGTCACACATGCCCTATTTTCATTGGAGATAGAATTCTCATCGTTGTTTAGTGCAACATTGTCAATTACAAAATTCTAGCACATACATAACACAAATGCAATATGAGAGTGGTTGGATTAACAAGTGATCTAATTTAACAGAGAATGTCAAATGCTGTTAAATAAAACAGCAGTAACCAAAATCACTCCAACATTGCATTTCTGTTATGCAATGAAGCACTTACCTGTCATATTTGACCGCTTGTTCCCAGGATTCCATTTGATATTTTGGAATACACTAAAAGTTAATTAATAGTACATATTGATAATGTTGTCCTAGTTTTGTTAGGAGCTGAGATTACAACAGCCTTCTTAAATAGGACTCAATAGAGTAGAAATTCTCACTATGTTTAGTGCATACTCAGCTAGTATATATTTTAAAAAAGGATACCATGATTGTCCTATTAGTTTTTGAAATAATTGACTGAAAAAACTTTTGATACAACACTATTTCCTTACAATAGAAAAATTTAATTGCTATTCAAAAAAAATACAGTATATATTATAAAAAATAATATCAAAAGTTTATAAGTTTGAATTAAGTTGGATTTCTAAAAATCTACTAAATGTTTTATGTACAAAATAATGTTGAAAAATTGAGTATTAAAAATATCAGAACACAAGTGAGTCTTTTTAAGATAAAATATCAAATTACATGACAAAATTATATATACATATAAAGAGAGAATATATTAGTTTTCTGGAAAAAATTTAATTTGGAATACTAAAATGAAAAAACAATTTCATAATTTATTTTCTATTATTTAAACTATAGTTATAAGTGTATGTGTCTAACTCACTAAAGTTTTATTTTTGTTGAAGATAAGTTTAGATTTTTTCCTTCTTACAAAAGTCAATGCACAAGTGGACTCCACTGTCCATCTTCATAATTCAACTTACCTATGCATTAAACTTTAATGCTACTTTTTTCATTTTCACTTTTAGTAGGTCTTTTATTTTCTTGTATGATTGGTAAGATTTTTGGTAGGAGAGTTTGTGCTCCTCTATCAAGTTTATATCATGGGGACACACTTTCACCAACTTATCCTTCCAATGGAATATATCTTCAAAGCAGGTTAAAGGCAGCAATTAAGTGCCCTTAATTGCTGCCTTTGATCAACTGATAATTTCGAATCCATTGTGACTGCATTTTCAAGTCCAACTCCATCTTTCTAATCCTAATAGATGGATATGGACCACCAATGACAACCACATACTATAAAAAAGAGCATCGTATGTACATTATCATTATGTATATATAGGTATCTTCTTGCATATATATATACAGATATCCCTTGATTAATGCAGTTAATTAATCAAATACAGTGGTACCTCAGTACTCAACTAAACAATCAATATACTGGTGTGCATAACTATTTTGTTGCCTTTCAACTAGCAGTCAGTCCTGTTGCACAGTTGTGTAACATGTGATTATATGATTATAGGGTAGAAAGATACTCTTGGAATGCCTTCTTTAATGAAACTTGAGCTGGGAACAGACAGAGGCTCTCTAGGCACTTGACCACACATTATCTCAAAGCAAGCTAGATAAGCATGCTTGTTGGTTGGCTACTTCCCTGCATACTCACAGCAAAAAGGAAACAAATCTATCCCAGTCCCTACCATGAAGGGAAGGGACTGGAATAGCCTTCACCATTATTTGCTTGAATGTTCTGCTAAGTCTCTTAATCATTTTTTATTACTTTGGGGATATCCAAGAGTATAAATCTCATCTCAACATCCAAAGATTTAAGCAAACTGTGTTAAAACCACTGTAAAATTTATATTTTGATCACAGATAAGCCTCAGGCATCTGAACCAAAGTGTCTCAACATGGCATTGGCATTAATATTATACCTGGAGCCATCTAGCACAGTCATCAGTCAACATCAACAAATATTTTGTGGCCTTTGCTAGATGAGAGATCTATAAGGCCTGTGGTGTCCATTGTCACTAGATTGAATGACCATTTCAGCCTAGTCAAGGATGTTATTAGAATCTTATCAAATATCCAAGATCTCAAAGCCTTCTGATAATTGAACCACTATGCTAGACCAGTAGAAAGTCTCACAGATCCATCTCAAGGTTTTTCTTCACCCTAGAACCCCAGATCATAAGTCCTGATAGATCAATTTTAGCATGGTAGGTGATCTCATTTAGTGAACAATGCTCTCCACAAACAGAATCCATTTCCCCTTTTTCATCATCATCTCTATTCTCCTAGGAGCTCTCAATAATCATTCTACTCTCATCAATAGTCTTTTCCATCACTTTGGCAGTGTTGGCTGCAAAGTCTTCCAGTTGGAGCAAGATCCTCACCCCTATAGGTAATTCATCTGTAACTGTACATGTTACATATGTTGGAGTACCCAGGTCAGACTCCCTTGCCAAACATTCCTTTAACGTTTGGCAAGGGAGATCCTGCTTCAGATGTGCTGTCACTTCAAAATGCACCTTTAAATTTAACCATGGTTGAGATGTCTCTATATTTGATTGGAATCATATCTGATGAATAACTGTAATGTTGACACAAGAATCTACTGATGGAGGAAGCAGCTTCCCTGCCCCTGTCAGTGCTACATAATCTCTGATCCTATTCTCACATTTCTCTTTAATCCTGGGTATCTTCACATCAGATGGTTCATCTCATCTTTCTTTTCAGCAGATCTTTGCACATAGCTGTCCACATATCCCAAAAAGGGAATGGAATACGAACAGTAGAGCAAAGAAGCCTAGTGGAAACATAATTGGTTGTCCATTTTGTACCTACCAGATTATTCACTCTTACTGGAGGATTCAACTTCATCCAGCCTCTTCTTGAAGCACATCCCTGTTCCCCTTTTCATCAACTTTATTTGCAAGACAATGTGCAGAATCTGGATGTAAACACTTGAAGTTTCTTGCCAAGCACTATTAGTTTCTCTGCCAGCAACCAATCTTATCCTCTCAGGTTCAAAGATCAAGCCACCTCTGACAACCTGTACCAAGCTGATCATGGCCTGGACCTGAAGCCAGTTCTTCAAGCGTTACATCCCAATTTCACCATTGATCATCTTTTCTTCGTGGACAGTTTCTGTATCCCCACTGGCCTTTGTATCTATACAGATAGGAGGTGGGCTCCTCCGTCGTGGTGGTCTACAACAACATAAACATCTATCAGACCCAGTATGTGCTGGCTCCCCACAGTATGGCACACTAAGATGGATCAGGAATAATGCCAACTCTAGGTACTACAATAAAGCAACCATTCTTACAGATAGTAGAGTTACCCTCCTTCAACTTAAAAACCTCAACATGAAACTCCCCATTGTCAGTGAAACTGTCCAAACCCTTCTTCTACTCATGAAGGATATAGACTTCAAATTTATATGGGTGAAGGGTCACTCCGGTATTCCTGGGAATGAGAGGGCAGATTTTTTTTTCGGATATGAGGGACGTGGCCCAACATATCCGAACAGACCACCCCTGAAAAATTCCTGGGGATTCCTTGACCCATCCGGATTTGATCCCGGGTCTCCCAGAGCGGTAGGCTGCCACCTTGACCATTCAGCCATCCTGCTGTCAGAGGGCAGATCTACTAGCTCACTCCGCCTGATATGTGCAACCACTGCATTTACAGCAATGTTCCTCCCAACTGGTTCTCCAATCAGATTAGTCTGGCCTGCTGGAATACTAGCAGGAAAGGTGGAATGCCATGGGTAGGTTAACCCACAAGTTTATTTCTGATGTTATAATCAGAAGGGACAACAAGCATCTGCTCCCCTCCTTCCATCCTGCTCAATTGTTGACCAGTCATGGCAACTTTAGAAGTTACCTCTTGCAGTTCCTCCATAAGGGCAATGACAGTGCACTTGCTCTCTCAACAAGATGGAGGAACCATTCCATATTATTTACTACTGTCCTCACTAAACTTTTCAAAGGAAGAGTCTCGTTAATACCATTCTCACTGAAGGGATTCATTGGCCCTGCCAGCTCAAGACTTTTGTAAATAACAAGACCAACCACAGTGCCTTTAGGAACTTTGCCCATAGCATCAATGGCTAATTGTCACACTAGCCATTCCAGATTTATTGCTGTGCCCTTGTTGTTCAGTCTCCCATCCGTAATCTGGTACTTTATCACTCCCACAGGGTTTTGTCATCACACCGTCTGATTGGGCAACTAGTTATCACATGTCTTGCTTTTCAACTTTTTTGTAATTAACTTCTTTATTATAATTGTGTTGCTGGCACCCCAGTTCCTATGTTATCTCTTTTCCTTCTTTACTATCTTGCTTTATGTTCCTCTTCCCTCTCACCCCTTCAACTTCACATCTTCCTTTCGTTTTATCATTATATGGGCTATACCTATGAGTGCAGCCCTTTAACCTTTCTATTGTATTATATTGTATTGTACCAACCTGTTGCATTATGTTGTTTTCTCACATCAGTAGATATGATAGATCTTTCTGGGAAATCGTACCAACTTCCTTTATGCCAAAAATCGTGATTATTTCCTCATAAAGCATATAATGATCTATCTTAATGCTGAGTTCTGGAATTAAACAGAAAAAGCCAGTATGCATTATAGAATTTATCATGATGAGTCAATCATCTAATTTTCCTTTCCTACACATTTTACCAGAATGTATTTTTGTTAATTTCTTATTATACTAAACTGTTTTATACAAAAATAAAGAATAAATAATGAAATATTATCAAAGTATGAAAAACAGAACATTGATATGATAGTTATAGAATTATGTTTGTTGCATCAACAGATTTGTGAAACTTTCTTATATATAAATTTTCAATAAATTAATTTTTGTTATTGAAATTCTCTTAATAGTATAAAATTAGAGATAATGCTATACAAGTTCATTAATTCTCATATTAAAAATTTTTTTTTCAGTGATAATGGAAGTCAGAATTCTTTAGATATTAATGATGTTGAACCCAACTTATGTAACAATGGTGGAAAAGATAATCCTATTTTTATACCAGACAATGAAAATGGTGAAGTTAAAAGCTACAATAGTCAACAAATGTACAGTTTAAATATATGTGATGAAGACCTTAAATGAAGTGAAAATTGAACAAAATGGATTTATTGAAAGCAATCAATAACAATTGGAGAAGAAAAAATTCAAAAAACTATTTTAATACTAAATTAATATGCCTCAATGTCCTTAATTTATTCAAATATTATTTCATTCACCAGTACAGTGTGTATTTCTATTAGTAGGACTTATTAAACTGGTATTTAAGATTACTGCAAATCAGTCACACAGATTAAAATTGTTTTATTTGCAACAGGTAAATGCAAATAAAACAATTTTAATCTGTGTGACTGATTTGCAGTAATCTTAAATACCAGTTTAATAAGTCCTACTAATAGAAATACACATTGTACTGGTGAATGAAATAATATTTCAATTTTAATACTAATTTGGAGATCTCTATTAAAAATCAAGTAATAGGCAATTGAATTAGTTCAATGGGAGAAGTGTAAATAAACTATATTTTTAAATTTAATAGCTGTCAAATTTTAATTGCTTTGATAAAAGACATATTCCAGACTTGCAGAGTTTGAGCTATTATCATAAAAATAGCAACCAACTGAACCTTAAAAGAAATTACAGGATATTCTATTGTAAACTCTAATGTTTTCAATCTTCACAGGAGATCTTCCTCAGGATATAGTGTGATGAACAGGGGGTAAAGAGATATTACTTCTGTACCTCTTAATCAGCTACAAGTCAGTGAGACTTGCTCGTGTTGTTAATGGATGGCTTTCATTAATATAGAAGATGAAAATTGTAAGATTCTGTCTTTTGTCAGTGCCTGACACCAGATAGGGTAATATTTGTGCCCTAACTCACAATAAAATAACTTTAATAAATTTTTTTAAAACAGGAGGGTTTAATTCTATGAGTGGAGAGGTTGCAAGTAAGTTCATCAATAGGGCGACCGTTACATATATCAATCAATGAACAACCAAATTAATAATGAAATTACAAATAAAAGTAACGAATCATTATATCTATACTAGTTACTATGTCCCTAAATTGAGAGAGTTTACAAAAATAATTAAAATACCTCTATGATATTTCTTGAATTTTATAACAATACATTGAGTATATGTTAGGCATAAGTAAAGTCAACACGAGGAGCAGACACAAAATTATAGTCAGTTGATATATGATTAATCCACACAGAGTTAGGTGCATAAACCTTCTTATACTAAAATTCTATTTTTTTAAAATAATATAAAAATATCAACACCCATATTCAAATTCTCACATATAGCGTTCTCAGAATTTCCACATTCCAATTTGGAGAACGCTATATTCTGAGGAAGATCTCCTATGAAGATCAAAAACATTAGAGTTTACAATAGAATAACCTGGAATTTCTTTTAACATTCAGTTGGTTGCTATTTTTTTGATAAAAGATTCCTTATGTTTATTCTTATCTTTAAAGCAAATATAAAAATTTAGCTCATGCCAGAAATATTCTATGTAAATTATTATTAAAAGTTTTGACATATGAATATCCAGTTATAAAATTACTTTATGTCAAGTAAAGTTAAGATCGTTGATAATGTTTTTACTTTAAAATTTGCATAAATACAAGGGTGATTGAAGATTGAGGCATTTGTCATATCTGTGGATGAGCTTTTCCATCCCCTTGTCATAGAATGTTGCCGCCAATGACAAAAGGTGGAAGTCATCACACATTAAAAAGTTCCAAGCTGGGTGGAAGTCTTCACCACCTTTAAACATCCAGCATATAGCCCCGATTTAGCACCGAGCAACTTCCACCTCTTTCCTGAACAGAAAAAGTAGCTAGAAGGACAGAGATTTGAGACTAATGACAATCTTCAAAACAACGTTAGAGCCCATCTCAAGTCATTGGCGGCAACATTCTATGAGAAGGGGATGGAAAAGCTTGTCCACAGATATGACAAATGCCTCAATCTTCACAGTGATTATGTTGAAAAGTAATCATGTTTTTACCTAACTTTTGGTAATAAATGCATTTTGCTATTTACACTTGTCTTTTTTTTATGGACCATTAGAGCTTGAAAAAAAAAAAAAGCCTATGTATATTTTATAATGCATATTACACAGCCTAAAATCAAAATTTACAGTATATGATGCAGTTAATAATCTAAAATTGAATTATTTGCAAAACACTTGCAATTTTCTATTCAGCATATGATAATGATTTAAATTGTATTAGGATTATTTATTAATGCATTTTAAGGTTTTGTTTCCTTCAAGTAGTTCTCTTAGTTGATATTTTTCAGTTACTTGCTCACTAAGATATGACAAATGGCTTGATAAAACTCTACCATCTATCATTTTTGGCAACATCTTTGATAAGAAAATGAATGCTTATTGCTTAATACAGTAATTTAAAAGATAAGAAATGTTGACTTTATTTTTTCATTCCAACTGATTTATATACAGTAAAAACTTTGATCTCAAATCATTTCTTAAGTCAAAATGGGTTGTCAGTTCCAAAGAACACCCTATATATTAAAATTTTGTTTGACTTTGATATTTTTTTTTACTCTTAATGTTATCACCCTGTTAAATTGTACTAGTTGAACTCAGCAAGTGTCAATCACTCTATTAAATTCTGTGAATCTTTTTGGCACATTGCTTGGTAAAAGTGGATTTAACACAGTGGGATAAGCAAGAAAATGAAAGAATCATCATTGGCTTGCTTATCCAGCTGTATTAAATCTACTTTACCAGGCAACATGCTCTTTGTTCATAACCAACTTGCCAATTTAGTAGAAAATAGACAAAATGATTTGTTTGAATTGTAATTTGTAATTCAGATACTATGTACAGTACATACTGACAATCTTGAGTGTGGAGGTGTGCTTCCACCAAATCTACATCACAACAATTTTGAGTCGTGTTTAATCGGTCAAGTCAACTTGAGGAGACAGAGTTCAGGGAGGAAACTTCACTGCAATGGTTTGGTTGAACTGATAAGTTGAATGGACTACAACACTGGTTGGGATGGCTCCAACTTGTTATCTTCACATTGATATCATTCTCTGACGTTTATAAACAAAAACAATTTTTATTCCATACTTTAACGAAGCAGTGATCTTTATTCTATGTAATACCCTAGTTAAAGTATAGAATGTTAGATTATTATATACTTTAATGGGCCTCTTTGGGTATTCTATAGAATAACAGATTATAAACTTTAACATTAACACATATATATATAATACAGAGTCCTTGTACTGGAATATTTTTGCAATATAGAGGAAAAAATATTAAAATACTGCCTCCTCTCTGATAAGAATGATACTGAAGATACTGAAAATAATTAAAACTAGTTAATTAATAGATTAGAAATATCTAGTATATCATAAATTATGAATTAATTAATTACAAAATAATTATAAAATTGAATTATAATTATATTATTAATTGGTAATTATAAAAAAAATTGATGACATTTATTTTTGATGGACTGCACATTTTGTAAGAAAATTTTGAAAATAGCATTTATCAGAATCAGTATCAGACTTAAAAAATATAAAATTTACATCATCCGTAAGTATATGGTACCGAATGGCTCCATTTAATAATGAACAAGGGAGAGGATAACTAGATTTGTCTAGTATGACAAAACTAGCTACCATACCTCTTGTTCATCATTAATGATGATTGTTGTCAACAGTAATAGACTTTAAATAACAGTCTTCTCAAATTCAAGACCACAGAAGAAACTTAAACTCAGTTGTTCAAAACTTGTGAAGGATGTAAAACAATTAGAGCCAGAAAAACAAATCTACACAACATCCATATTGGTTGTTTTATGTAATATTAAAATTCTTAAAATAAAATATTTCTAATGAAATTTTAATATTTAGAACAGTTAACTTAAGTCTTGAGGAAAAAATAAGTTGATTTAAGGAGTAAGATAACCATGTATTCTCTCGAGAAAAAATTTCTTGTAGGAGTATTATTTATAATTGTATGCATTGTATCCAAACAGTGAGTTTATCAAGATGAAGACAATAAAATAGAAATCATAAGAGTAGCTAATCATTGTGATTGAATTAGTGGTGAGAGTTATATTCATGTGATGGCAATACATTTGGAAATTTAATACTGAAAGTTTTTATTGATATGCTATCATTCCTACAGAATGAATCCTTTCACTCTGTGGTGAATTTTCAAACCTTTTTATTCTTTACATTATCAACATCAGACATTTTATCTGAAATAAAAAGAGAGAATTTATATGAAGTACATATATTAATATGTATTAAATAAAAATGAAGTATGGCAAATAAATAATTACATAATAATATTTAAAATCAAAATATTGAAAATATAATATATATTTATTTTATTGAAATATTTTGATAATTTCATGGCTACATATCCCATATATGTCAAAAATCTATCAATGGAATAAACCATTTAACTACAACTTCAAATATTTATCTATTTTAAGCGTAATCTTTTCTACATAAAAATACAGTAAGGCCTCACTTAATGCTGATTCAATGTAATGTGGTCCGCTTGATGCCTAAAATTTATGCTTATTCAAATTAATGCGTTTTTCATTGATTCGTATATAACATGATTATACCCAAACACGAACCAATCAGCAAAAGGTGGCAATTCATCGTAGTGCTGTACTTCCCTTAAATCTGTTTGTTTGGGGCAATTTTGGAAAAAATATAATATCATGGATGCCATAGGAAATAGCAACTTGGCTTGGCAAGAATTAACTGATAAATGCATGAACGAAATGTGAAAGAAGTTATGGCTGAAGGTATCCAAGAATTCTCATCAAGAAAAGCCTATCGCTGTATCATTAGGTTGACAAAATTGTCAACTTAATCGATACAGGAGATGTACATGAGCAGGATATTGGGTAATTACTGCAGGTTTCTGGTAAGAGCCTTACCAACGATGAGCTGGCAGAACAAGGAATCCATGTAGAACTGAAAAACAGAAATTCTGAAAACGAAGAACCCAAAAAATTTCTCTACAGATTTCCTTAGTAAAAGTTTGGTAACAATAACCAAAATCATTGATCAAATTGTAGCGAATGATCTAGATTTTGAAAGGAGTGCAAAAGCAAAACGAGGCGTTTTGGATGCAATCTTCTGCTACCGACATTTGCTTAAGGAGAGAAAAAAGCGACAAATGAAACTTTACGACTATTGCAAAAAATCAAGATTTTCAGAAAAGTCAGTACCTTCAGCACAAAAAACGAACTAATTAATATATTATTATACATTTCTGTGTGCATATGTTTATGTGTTATTTAACATATTATTATACAAATTAATATAAAAATAACTTAAAATTAAAGTAAATTTTTTTAAATTTTCAGTCATGTGTTCCCTATCCCTATTTACTGTGTGTTAAAATGGTCTCGTTTAATGCTGTTTCGCTTAGCACTTTGTCATCTAGGAATGCATCCCCTGCATTAAGTGGAGTCTTATTGTATATTGAAATGTTATACTATATTATGTTAATTTCATAAAACAATTCATTTGAATTTAGTAACAATTATTATAAATTTTTACATTTAAAATTTAAGAAATAAAAATATCAATATAATATAAATGATTTAAAGCTGTTATATTTAAAGTTATCATTTTTCCATAAAAATAGTTGATAAAATTTGTGCCAAATTATTCAAATCTAACTTATTAGCAATAAGAAAATCATATTTTATTTACTTCAGCAATTCAAACTTGATTAATTTAAAAACTGAATACTTTTAAATATATCTTTAACTTCATATTAATTAATCTAATTTATTCAAAGCTGCTAAAGACTTAAGTCATTTGATTATAAAGTCATTACCCATTAAACAAATTATTTTTAAATGAAAATAAAAACTACTTTTACAAGCAATTACAGAGAAAATATATAGTTTTAAGATAGTATTGTACAGTAATTAGAAACTTTTGTTTCTGAGAAATTATCATCAGGCATTTTCTGAAATAAAAGTAAACACTACTTTTATTTACAACATATTATTTTATTAATAGAAATTTTATTAATAAAATTATTTATAAAATAAGTTTTTACATG